ATGTCTATGTATATATATAACATATTTTTCCTACAATATATATGTTATTACTTTTGAGTAACCATGTCAGAATCCAGAAATCTATAGGTCTCTGACATCAGATAGTGATTATACCCAAAGACATTAGAAAGAACCTAGAAGGCTGATACAGATACATAAAGCACCTGGCAAAGACATGTCACTAAAATTGTGTCCCTACCATTCCCTGTTTTGACTTGTTCGTTCCTTTATTTGTTTAACAAAGATTTAAAGGGCAACTCCTCCTACAAGCCATGTATCCTGAGTCCTTAGGACTATGCACAGAGCAGGATGCAAGAAAATAGCTTTTGTTCTCAATATGCTCTTGATTTAGGAAGACAATAAGGAAGTAAGGAGATTATTCCATGACACTATGGTCACCCCTTGGAAAGAAAGATGGCAGTAGAGCCAGAAAAGAGATGTCAAGGAAAGCCTGTGTCAGTTATGCCTAATGTAACCCTAAGGAGGAGTAGGAGTAAACAGGACAGCACAGAAGGGTGTCTCAAGCATAAAAAGAACAAAGGACTCTACAAAGTATACACAGTTCAGAATTTCTGGAAGATAATATCACTGAGGTAATAATAATGAATAAGGCTGTAGAGATCACCAGGGACCAACTCCTAAAAGTCCTTAAATGAGACTGATTTTTTTTTTTTTTTGTGGAAAGTAATTGGGAGCCATTAAAGAATGTTAAATAAAGGCATTACACAGACCTACTTGCATTTTATAAATAGTCCTTCATGAGCTTTCCACTAGCACAGAGAATGGGGACCTGGGAAACCTAACTGGGGGAAGCTATTAGAATCAGATTTTACCCATAATAGATCTCATATCTCCTAATCTTAAACCAGAATATATCTCAGAAAACAGCTTATCCAACCCTACTGTGCAGAAACAAAGCTAACTCATTTTTAAGGGATATGAAGTAGTATATCCATTCTTTTAAATGAAATGAAACATCCTGCCCTATAATCTAGTCTTCCCATGTGCTACTCCCATCTGCCACTTTGCCAGCATCTCTGCTCAAGGAAACCTGAGAGGGTCTCACTTCTATGGACACAGCTCAGAGCGGATCCTTTTTAACGGCTGGAAATACTTCACAATTTTGAGAGTGGATAGGACGTGTATTCCACGCATATGAAAAAAGTTCTAACTGGTTTAGCACATTTTTGCATAATGATTAGAAAGCTAAACCCCTTTTAAATCAGAGATTATTCTTGAGCTTCTAATACTATTTAAATTACAACTCCTAAATCTTGAGTGATGTAACAGACGAAAGTCCAGATGCTGCCTTTGTTTTAATTCTCTGCATCCCCTGGCAGTTACTTAACATGACAGAAGGCTATGCAGATTGGCCTGGTAACAAAACCTTACAGGTGTTGCTTCTACTGTAATGCTCACCATCCCTCAGTGCTCTATAAGGTAAACAGGTTGGTTTGTTATGTTTCCTACCCAGGGAATCTTAAACATATTGAAGGAGGTGTATTGAGTCCATAGAGTACCACAGTCTCATGATCCCCCAGGTAAGATCCTTCAAATAACCCCAATAACAGGACCATGCAGATTAGCAGGTCCTGCCTTTCACAGTATGGAGCCAGAGGGCTACCAACTGATTATTCCTGAAACAAATTCTGCAAGATCAGGAGAGTGGATAGACTAAAATGTTTTGATTAGATTTATGCAGCCACTGTCTGGTGGTAACTTAAGGCAATATTCTTAACCATGCAGATATAAAAAGCTACTTGCCTTTGGAATAATAGATAAACAGAGCAAAGGACAATAGTATCTGGGGGAATCTCAAACTACATGTACTCTAAAAGTAACTTCCATTCCATCAGGCAAACATCAAAAACTCAAGTACATAGATCCATTATATTATGAATGCAACAAATATTAAGTGCTTGGTGCTTTCAAAATAGAAATCCTACAAAGAATCAAGGAACTCAACATCTTAGTGCTCAGGTCTCCACAGACACTGGCTTCCTTTAACCCTCATGGGAACCTGTATGTCCATTTCCATTTCACAAATGGGAAAACAGGCCCTGAGTGGTGAATATATTGGTTTCAATTTTCTGGTTGAAAAATGGTAGCTGCCATGTGAACACTGGATGGTCTGAAACAAAGCCTCATCTTCCTACTTTCCAGTCCCCCAACTATGGGCCTTCTTCCTAGCAGAGAGGCTGGGGCTAGGAGGAGGAGGCAGAAATAGAATGAAATGCTGCTAGCACATGCCAGGGAAGAAATCATGACAGGCTCCTCTGGGAGCAGAGAATTTGGAAATCCCTAAAGCTGGACCACATATTGATTTCCTTGGGGGTGGAGGAGGGTGACCCCTCCTCTGGGAAAGTTAATGTAGAAGTTTTGTTTTTCCCCTTTAATGGATTAGCTCAACTGAAATGCAGAGTGTGACCTGCTTAGATTCAAGAGGAGTAAATGACTTTCCCAAATGCCCCCAAGATCTATGCGTGGAAGCCCAATGCTCAATCTCCCCTCCTACTGTGTCGGTCACTAATAGAACCAATGCACACATTTGATTAGGAAAGGCAACTTCTTAGATAAAAAGAGGGGAAAAACTCTCTTTTAAATCATCTCTAACTTTCTAAAGTGCTTCACATATATTTGGCATTATTAAGATTCATCACCACAGTTAAAAATAAAATGAAAGTCATATTGTAATTTTGTTTTACAGTTACAAATTAACTCAGCTGAAAGATTCTTTCAGTAAAATTAACATTTCATAACATTTTATCAATCCAACATACCAGGAGCTCAAAGTATATTCTCATTTAAAAAGTATTGAGTTGTAAAATTATTTAATATCATTTCTAACATATTATTTACTTTTCACTCTTTTGTCAGTAGAAAAGAAAATTAGTAAAAGAAGGCTTTTGTGTCATGTATCATCAGTTAGACAGTGACAACTCTGCCTGAGCATTGTAGCTTTTGTTGCTAAGCTTCTGATTTAAGAATAAAATTAAACTTTAAAAAGTAAAGATATCCAGAAATTTATGAAGCAGAAAAAAGGCAACATGTTTTATGGGTACTCATTCTAGATATGTTCATTACATGCTGAAGTCTAGGGAAGATAAATAGGGAATCTAAAAAGACACCATCTGCTGTGTGATCAACTTAACCCTTTATTTCAATATCACCTGCTGTTGAGCCCTTCTTCCCCAGGATGAAAAAAAAAATGACTAGCATATTAATGAACTAAGTAGCAGTTTTAGTAGGACCTGAGAATATGCTCCGTTTGACAATTTGATAAGCCTAGAATTGCAACCTGTTATTCGCTCCAGAAAAAAAAAAAAATCTGTTATAATTTACATTTAAAATGAATACCACATGTACAGTGGTTGCTATCATCCAGGAGTTCATAGCAATCCCATAGCAAACCACAGTCTTTTCTGAATTTTTTGTTTTATTTACTTTGGAATAAAAGACCAATTTTTCAGAAAGCTATCAAATCTGAAAATTTTAAAGTAGAGTAATTCCTTAAGTGAAGAAAAGTTTCTTCAAAAATAAAAATAAGACAAAAGAAAAAGAGATTATATATCCCAAATCAGAAAACATTTTCTACTTAAACATTCAAAGATAACACATGGCATAAACAAGAGGAGAATTTTTTAGTTTTTTTTTAAAGCAACGTATAGCTAAAAATCCTCTTGTTTTCTTCTTTGTACACCTGAGATATTCCAGCTTTTAAAATTTATAAATTACATTTAACAAATGCAACACAACTCATTCAGGGTTGATTTGAGTTCACAAAATAATTTTATTATATGTAAGAAAGCATACAAGCAAAAAAATTAAGAAAACATTCACAATACATATTTAACACAGACCTGATCCAGAAAATATTCTTCAGTAGATTTTTGTTCTATTTACCAATTTTATCTACTTGTTAAGTCAATTGCTTATCAAGAATACTACCTTGTAAACATGAAAAAAAAAAAAAAAAAACCTCTGTTAAAACACCCCACATGAGTTAGTATCTGAAAAGGGAGGCTGATGGTACTTTTTACAGTTCACACTATGACATGAGAACCTGATTCCAAAGCACAGAGAAAACATTTGTCAGAGAGATGCTGATGGCTCTGGGGTGCTTAACACACCCAAAGAGAATGGGGTCTCCCATTCCTTCCATCAACAAAAGTAATGTACCTTCTTTGAGGCTATCGAGGCACTATTCATTAGTTAGCATACCATTAACATTTAAAGACCTTTTTTTAAAGTCAGTTCTACGTTCAGGTGAAAGCACTACAAAATTAGCCCCAGTGAGTGGCTTGGTTTGACCTGGGAAAACAAAGACACAGGATTTGAGCCTTGTCCATCAGTGGGGCCGCTGTGACCCCAGAATTAAGGAAACTCACTGTCCTTGCTGCCTGTCTCTATCCAGGACAGCCATTTGTTTGGTTCAGAAAAGCTATCTGAAGCATGAAATGAGAAAAGACGGAAGGGCCAATTATTTTACATAAATACAAAGTGGCACATACTTTTCCTTACCACCTAAGATTGTAAATGCAAAGTTGTGTTCTTCTTAAACTAGATTTTATATAAGATATTTACAGAACTGCAAATTCTCCTGGGAAAAGACTTTGCCATTTAGAACATTTAGAACACAATAGTAGCTATGCCTTTTTTTTTTTTTTCATTTTTCAAAATCATTTTAGAGGGAGAAAAGCATTCACAGCATTTGTCAATTCTCACCTGGTGTTTATTAATGCCATTGCATTTTAAGAAATCGTTACAATTTCATTTCCTGTCAGTCTTTTCTGTATTTCTAGAAGTTATTCATGAACATTTAGAATCAGAGTCTGTGTGTTTGTTTCATCGGCTTATAAAGTGCTAGTTCGATGGACAGCTCAATCTCAGATAACTCATTTTTTATCCTATTAAATATGATAAATATAGATTTCTTATGATAAATTTAAAATATACATATAATACAATAAATAAATAAAATCAATATCAATAAAGCATCTCTCAATTCTGAAAAAAAAATCCCACTCCTACTGTAAGGCTCAATTTTTTTAGAAATAACTTATGAAGGCATGCACCTACCTTTACAATCTGAAAACTTTGCTCGGAACAGTTTTAGCACCTGTTTGTATACAGCAAACTCAACCATTCTCACTTCCTTTCCAGAAAGGTTTGACTTTTAATTGAAGCTGTTCATAGGTCATAAGATAACAGTTTCAAAAATGATTTTGGAGCCAAAGATGTGTCCCTTGTGGCTTCCCATATGTCCCTGTTTGATGGGCTATGAATAACAGAAAATACACTGGAATGTATTTGAAAATATACTTAGTTGTCTGTTTGAAAGCAGCAGATGGCTCTCCTGACATCTCACTATCTCACCAGACCTTGATTTCTAGCAGCAAGTCCCAAAGAAATCTCCTTGAGCTTTTTGCATGCCAGGATTCATCTAGGAGTTCAGCTTGGGTGCTGTCCATTGTGTGTGATGGGTTGGATCTTCTCTAGAGAGACATCAGTGTCGTAATCCAATATGACTGATAGGGCCGGGGACAGCTTCTCCAGGGGTTTGGCTATTCCCCCCACCTCCTCCTTTTTCAGGTCCTCAGAGGAACCTACCGCATGTGGGATCAGGTAAACCAGATTGCATTCCTTGGAGATGGAGCCTCGTGGCTCGTGATGGCTGGAAAACACCACAGCCCCATTGTTGTTGATGCTGACTGTCTCTATGGCATTATTTGTTGTAGGGCAAAGTCTGTAACATCCTAAGAGGGTTGAAAATGCCTTCTGAAAATCAGCATTAAAGGCATAAATGATGGGGTTCAAGGAAGAATTAGCCCACCCAAACCACACAAACACATCAAACGTGATGGAATCAATGCAGAAGGGCTGGGTCTCCCCTGACTCACAGAAGGGCACCATACAGTTCGAGATGAAGAAAGGGAGCCAACAGCATACAAACACCCCCATGATCACGGACAGAGTCTTCAAAACTTTAGTCTCTCTTTTGAAGGACATCTTAAAAGAGCTCTCTGACTGAGAACATTCGACAGGGTTCCCGTTACCTGCGGTGGTCTGGCAATTCTTGGCGTGCACAGCTGCCCTCTCCAAGGCTGAGATGCGCCGTATTTGTTTCTGGGCAATCCTGTAGATACTGGTATAGGTCACAATCATGATGGCCACTGGGATGTAAAAGCTTATTAGGGAGGATGAAATGGCATATGTCCTGCTCAGTCTGGTGTCACAGTCGTCTGCGGTCTCTTCCAGGACAGTAGCATTCCCATCAGAGGGGCTTGTGGGTTTTGCCTTGTGCCAGCTCAGCTGCACAGGGATGAAGGAGATGAGAACAGACAAAGTCCATGCTACACTGATCAGAATGAAGGCTGCCTTGGGGGTCATCTTCCTCTCATATTGGAAGGGGCTGGAGATAGCCCAATACCTGTCCACGCTGATCACACAGAGGTTAAGGATGGATGCGGTGGAGCACATGATGTCAAAGGCTACCCAAATGTTACAGAAGGACCCGAAGGGCCAAAAGCCAGCAATCTCAGCCACAGCTTTCCAGGGCATGACCAAGACAGCCACCAGGAGATCTGACACAGCTAAGGAAATGACGAAGAAGTTGGTCACCTTAGACCGCAGGTGTCGGAACCTGATGACAGCAGCACAGACCAGGGTGTTCCCCAGCAGAGTAGACAGGATCAGCAGTGACAGGAAACAGGCTGTAAGGATGCGGAAGGAGAAGTCCCTCTCCACGACCAGACCAGCCTCATCCATACTGGAGGTGTTCAGAGTCATCTTCCAGAAGGAATGCACATCAGGGCTTAATGCCCCTCAAGTAGGAAGCAAGGATAGGAGGTCAATCCGACTTCCGGGAGGGTTCTCGGGCAGCCCAGGCCCAGCCCCAGCTGCTCCCTAGGGTAGAGGACCTCACCAGCATTCCCTCGGGGGATGGCAAGCGTTTGTGGCAGGAGCTTCCCCTTGGCAATCGGCGTCAGCCCTGGGCAAGGTCTCTTTTGCTTTTTACGGTCGTCTTCCGACTCCCTTCCTCCAGGTCACTGGCACCGGTACCAGCTCATCCTAGATTCCCTCAAGGAAAATGCTGGCTGTTTAGTATATACTAAGTCTTCAACCCCGAGACACCCAGGCCTCTGCCTTGCCAGTCAATCGCAGTCACATTTCAGGGTCGTTGCCTCTAGGGTGATGACAGGGAATTTTCCCCTTCTAAGACGCAGCTGAAAACACATGTCTTGTTCCTCCAAGTCCCTGACTCTTCAGCAGCTCTCTCAGAGCCCTAGAAAGCGAAGGAAAAACACACGGTCTTTCTCTAAAACTAGAGCAGATGTAGCTTTACTCACGTCAAACTCAATCCAATCACTTGCTGGGCACGCCAGACAAGGCCACCTATCTCGCCTTGGGGTTGTCTGTCTTGGGGAGCTCGGAAAGTGGACTTTTACAGGCACCGCGGCTCCGCGATGCTCAGGAAGCCGCTCGCAGAGCCGGAGCGGGGATTAAGGAAGGAATCTCGGGTCAGGTCTCCAGAAGCTGCGTCGCCGGTCTCCTTGCTCCTTAATTGCTAGGGATTGCTCAAAACGGACAGGACCCAGGAAAAGGGGCGCAGGACTCTGGGAGCTTCCTTGGGAGATGGTACCCCCAGGACTAGTCTCTTGCTTAGCTTTGCTTCCTTCTCCTAGAGCTGCGCGTTGGGCACCCCTTGGGCGGCCTTCGCCCCCTCAGGGAGGGACACAGATCCTCCCTTCAGCACCGCCCGCTACCCCTCCGGAGCCTGTGTGGAAGCGAGGCAGAGCGCTAAGCTGGCTCGGCGAGCGCAACGACCGGCGGGTTCCCGCGGGGCACAGCCCACCTGCCCCTTCCTCTCCCCTCCCCTAAGGGCGGGCTGTGCTTGATAGGCAGAGTTCTAGGCGACAGCCACACGTGGTTCGCCCGAATGGGGCCACCAGCGGGCAAAGAGGATGGATGGGTAGACCCCAGGTGAGCGCTCGCCCTCACTGATGACCTCGCCAGTCCCTGTGTCCCTGGAGAGCTCGTAGCCGGGCTCTCGAGACAAATCCTGATGTTCAAACCTCAAGTCAACCGCCCGTACACAAAACTCCGCCCGACATCCGCCCCTTCCAGGGATCAACCCTAAGCCCTCCCCAGAGCCCAAGGTCAGAGAAGACCCTGTCCACTCCCACGCGCACCGAGCAGCAGGTTAGCTGGCCCGCGTCCCACCCGCGCCGCCTCCAAGTGTCCCCAACTAGGACAAGTCGTGCCCTCGGGCGCCCGTGCTCACCGTTCCCGAGGAGGGCGCGGCGCTGCCGGCGGGAGTCTCTCCACCCAGCAGGGGCTCACTGCGCGCTCTGCCCTGCGTCCCGTGCTGCAGTCAGCGTCGGAGTGCAGCGGGTGCCCTGCGCCCCGCGAGCGTCCCAGCCAGAACACACCCGCCGCGGGCCCGGGGCGCCCTCTGCCGGCACCTGCGGCTTCCGGAACCCGGCTGTGCCTCGCAGGTACCAACCTCCCTAGCATGGGCTCAGGCTTCAAGGGGCCCCCTCCTTGGGCACTCTTCTCTGTCCACGACTGCCAGAATCTGGGGAAGGGAAAGCCGAGTCTTCCTCCCTGAGTACTTTTCTGCCTGAAATACCCCTAAAACCTGACAAGGTTGGAACGCTTTTTTGCTGGCACACCATTAACAGAACCACTGTTCCTCCTGTGTGTTCACTGCATGCCAAGCGCTGGGGCAACAGGGTAAGCAAGACACAATTTGTACTCTCAGGTTATACAGGGGCCTGATGTCTACGGAGCAGCCGCTGTGTGCCAGGCACAGACCTGATGACATTCATCTCCTCGTAATGCCCCTTCCTCAGAGGCCTGCTCCTGTCTACCCCCGTGGGGAAAATGAGGCTCGCAAACGTGTGGAGCCCGCCCAGAGTCGACAACTAATGAGGGACCGAGCTGGCTGCTGTTTGTGTGTTCTTTCAACTTACCACATCTAGTTCCAGAGCCCAAAATCTAATTACCTATCGGGCTGAAACGGAGGGAAGAGCAAGATGGAGACAGGAATGCCTACAGAGGGTCCCCAACTTTCCGCAGGTGCCCCGAGGAATGACGCAGGGTAGACTGCACTAATGGTGCAAAAATGTTGACAACATGACTCCTTTCTGCAGCCGCATGAAAGTGGAAAGCAAATAAGCACAGGGTTTGAAAGTCTCCCTGCCTGGATTCTGTCCCTATCAATGGCATAACAGGGTTGTTATTAGTATTAAATGAGCTACTGGCTGCAGAAAGCTTGGCACCAACCCTAGAACCTAGTAACAAGCTTCACCTCACCCCACTCCCACTGGGAGGAACCCACAGGGGTCTTTTTCTAAAAAAATCTTATCTGCATGAGAACCATACACCACATTGAGTGTTACAATTTTCTGTATAAAAACCCTGAATCTAAGTAACAATCATATCTAATTAACCCATACAAAGTACGTTTTGGTATTAGATGAAAAGACTACCTGGTTGGTACAGACCTCCTCTCCCTTCTCCCAGTTCTGTCCTCTCACCAGTAGCCTCACCGTCACACACTGAGTGCCACAGTTAGGATACAAGACACAATTTCTACTGCACACCTGTCCCAAGAACCACATTCCTTAAGCCATGTGTAACGTGACACTTCCAGATCACTTTCCTTAAGGTACTCGCTCTCCAAATTTCTTGATACTTTATTTCATCTTTCTTTTTTACTGATAAACAAAATTAAAGGGTGTTTCCAATTCAACACTCTCATGTGAGCCTGAAGGTGTAACTCTCACAATCTGCCCATTCTGTTCTGAAATACTTCTACTGCGGTTACTCGGAAATAAACGAGGTGTAGGCGATTCAGCACCTTGGAAAGCAGCAAACCTTGAGATGTTTTCCTGTCGGATCCAAAGGGCGGCAGACCAGAAGGAGGGAACACTCCTTTGGGTACTGTATATGGGGAGGAAAAATATGTCTCCGGCACTGAAGAAGCAATCTTATCAGAACATATTAATTCTTCCAAGCTCAAGGCAGTAGAGGCTGGAGCAGAGGATGAAGCCAATTTGAGGGATAAAATTTCTAACACCCCTTGAGACCTTGCTGCCAGAGCCAACCACCCTGGAGATACCTACGTCCTCTTAAATTATAACAAGGACAATCATAATCAAATATGTGAGTCTCGGGTGGCATCACACTCACTGCAACACCAGCTCAACAGTCAAAACTACTTTATCTAATGGTAACCAAAACCTTGTTGGGAGGTAATGCTGTTCCTAATCCATTTCTTTCAAGCTGGGCAGCTGCTCAAAAAACCTCTTTCAATTCTTAAAAAGTCCTCTATATTCTTTCAGACTAGTTCATGCCAGCTTTTGTCTTTTCTTCTCTATTCATTTATCAGAGGTAATCAAATCATTATGAATCACTATTGTTGTAGTTAAGATCTATGTCTCCACCACAAGTAAATTTCTGCATTTTCAATATCAGGACATTAAATTTCTTTCTTACTTATAGCATTCAAAAAGGTCCAGAAATAGAAAATTCTAAACAGTAAAGAAGGAAGATCCAGTGAATACCTAAAGGGGTAATTTTTTGTCATCACCCAGCAGACAAGGGCTTTGGACCAGTTCCTCAGAAGTCTAGAATTCAAAGAGAGACACCTGAATTCCCTTTCCACCAGACTTAGTTAGTGGCCTTTGAGCATAATTGCTAAGGGAACAGGAAAGAGTATAATGCCACACAAACTTCAGGGTTTCACTTTACAGAGTGTGAACTTCAGAGGAGCTCAGAGTTTGACTAGAGGATTGGGTTTGTTGGTTTCGGGTGGAGTGGGTTTTGATTTTTCTCCCATGAAGAGAAGATGAAATAAAACCTTCCATTTTGTTCTATAATAATCTCCCCTAAACATCAAGAACATGAATATCAATGCAAGCAGGTATTAGCATTAGATCATGCTGGGAATGTAGACCCAAACACAAAAGCACCTTTGTTTCCCAAACTGGCATGCCTTTTAAGTGCCACTGTGATTTATGCACTGCAAGGAGAGGAAGTTTTAAATGATGCTTTTCAACAAATTTTTATTTGGGGTTTGTAAAATTCAATGAATACAGAGGGCTTCCCATCAAAGGGGAAGCTTAGTCTCACAAAAGAATAAATAAAACAACTGAACTGTCAAGTATATCAAATGATATGTGTGGGAGGCTTGAAAATTATTTAAGCTAATTTTAGACCCAAAACGACTGTATGTGATGTAAGGAAAGAGAGATAAATCTTGGCTGGCCTTGAGTAAGTAGTCAGAATGCTCATTCTAGGCTATGAATGTAACTTCTCTGAAATTCCTAATCCTGTGTTCTATTTTCCTTTCCTATAGTTATTATAAAATTTAAAAATCAACTCTTAAAAATCAAGGTATATCACTTTTGGTTGTGGGGTAGCATAACGGTTTTGAGGTTTTTTTAACATTTGTCCTTTGCTTTTTCTCTTTTTCTGTCCTGTATAGGCTTAATTGAGTAAGTTTTTTGTTTGTTTTGTTTTTTACCATGCTGAGGACCAAACTTGGGGCTTCTCACATGCGAGGCAGACACTCTATTACTGACTACATCTTCAGTTCCTGGGTAGTTTTTGTATTTCCATCTCTTCTCCTTTATTGGCTTATTTTTTTATAATTCTTTGTTACTTTTATGATTGCTTCAGATCATACAATTATACAATCTCTTTTTGCCACTTGCTTTTCAAAATTTTTTTCTGTTTTTTATTTTTAAAATAATAAAAGAATTTTTAAAAACATTAGAAATGACACAAAGTTTCAATAGGCAAAATGATAGGAATTCAGCAATGGTTGTTATATTGCATATTGTTGTCTTCAAATTAGTTGTTCAGATTACCAGATATAAGAGTGCAAAATTGGTCAAGAGCAACTAAAAAAAAGAAAAAATTTAAGCATTCACTGTTCTTTGCCTTTGTTTTAAATTTTATTTTTAGAGATAAAAGAACCAAAACATATTAACAAACACAGAGGCATAAATGAAACAACATAAAAACAATACAGAATTTCAGATGAGGTGAAAAGAAATTAACAGTGGTTGCTGTAATACATACTGTTATCTTCATATTCGTTATTCCAATAAACAAATACAAACACATAAGAATGATCAAACAATTAAGTATCAAGTGTTCCTTTCAAGAAAGCAATCAAAATTAACAGTACAATTATCCTGGTCATCTTGTATATGTATTTTCCCTTTCTTTTTTATTTTCTCCTTTCCCTCATCCCAGTTAACTTTTCTTTTCGATAGACCAGTAGAAATCAGCAGTACAATGATCCCAACTATCCTTGTATATGCATGTATATTTTCCCTTCCTTCTTGCTTTCTTTTCTCCTTTCATCCCAGTTGTTCCTCCCCTTTGAGCAGTTTCTTTCTCTTGCACGGTATCTATTGTACCTTTCAGATTTTATTTACCCTTTCAGGTTCTTACACTAGGGAGACAATACAGTGTTTACACATGTGAGTCTGATTTATTTCACTTATAAGTATGGTCTCTAGTTGCATCCATTTACCTATAAAAGCCTTGAGTTTATCTTTCTTTAGAGCTGAGTAATATTCCATTATATAAAAATACCACATCTTTTTTATCCATTCTTTAGTTGATGGGTATTTGGGTTGTTTCCATGATTTAGCTATGACAAATTGTGGTGTTATAAACACTGGTACACATATGTCACTGTGGTATGATGCTTTCAGTTCTTCTGGAAAAATACCCAAAAGGGGAAGAGCTTGGTTGAATGGGACTTCTAATCCTAGTTTACTGAGGAATCTCCAGACCAATTTCCACAGTGATTCCACCAATCTACACTCCCACCAACAGTGGAAAAGATTAGTTTTTCTCCACAGCAGCACCAGCATTTGTTATTGGTTGATTTCTTGATGATAGTCATTCTTTGTGAGGTGAGATGGAATCTCAGTGTTGTTTTAATTTGCATTTCTTGAATGACAAATGATGCTGAACATTTTTCATATATTTATTTTCCTACACCATACGATCTCTTATACATCTTTGTCAAGCCTGTCTTCAAGTGACATACAATTTTATGCGTAGTTAAGAACATTACAGTGGGACCAGGGAATTAGCTCAGGGGTGCAGGACCTGCTTGGCCAGCCTGAGATCCTGAGTTTGATTCCCAGTACCCAAAAATGAACATTACAGTGATATTTTTCCATGTCTCCTTTAACAGTCACTTTTGAGAAATTTAAGTAATAGGATGTAACCATTATATATTTACTACATGCTATTCCTCATACGTTTCCTTCTGTATAGATCCGTATTTCCACCTGCTGCTATCTTTTCACTTGAAAGACTATCATTAACATGTT